AGTAGTGTATTCTTGCAGATTATGAAACATAACTCATTCCAGGATAACCAACTAATACAGATTTACATTTTTAACTTAAGCTAGAAACAAGTTATTTATGACTAGTAATAGCATTGTTTTATACTGTGGGGGTGTGCGATAAATAGTCAAGATAAAGTCAGATAAAACATTGCCTGCAGTTTTATGTTTTTCTATTTATTGAAACAGCAGTAACATTTAATGCTATTTTTCATAAAACAATGCAAAGGAACCAAAGGAACATCAGCCAAAGATGCACAGATGCAAGTATGAACTATGCCATATCTATGGCATAAAATCCAATGCACACAACAGTCTTCAACACCTCAAGTATTTATATAGATGGAGCATTTATGTTCCTGACACACATTCTCATCCTAAAGCCTCTTAAAAATCCCAAAAATTACGTAATTGGCACTCCTAATAGCTAACGACCCAAATCAACTGCTCAGGCTAAACCTCACATGTCAGGATACTTGCAGAAAGCACAGCAAAGAGCAAACAGTATGGTAATGTTCTGGAGCAGGATGTGCACAGGATAAAACAGTTCACTTCCACACAAAAGACTTTTTATTACTTTTTAAACTAGCAATTGTAAAGCTTTCAGCAACTGCCCGGTTAATGCGTATTTTGTCCATATGATCACTAGTGGTTCATAGATGATGTCCCAGCAGTCCCAAGAATCATAAACTGCAAGCAAACAAACATTTCTGACATCTCAGAAAGTAACAACCCACCAGAGTATTTATAACACAGATAAATTAAATTAGTACTGAAGAGGATGTTAATACAAAAAAACAGATTATTTTAGGTTCCACTAAACAGTGACACAATGGCTGTGTTTTAAAAACACAGTCTAGTGCCTGATGCCCAAAACTGCAGCTGATTTGGAACACACCTATAGCCAAATTTGCATCAAGTTTGTGTGTAAAAGGTTTAGTGAATCAAAATGGTTATCAATACAGCAGCTAAATTTAAAGATGACGTCATTATGCCATCAGGCTGAAGGAAGCAAAATCTTCTATGCGTTTTCACTTTGCCAATAACAGAACAGTGCAAATACTGGATGGAAACTTGGCTTATGAAAATATAGCTTATGCAGACTCTGAAGTGCTAGTTACGCCCCAAAAATGCTGATGACTTGGAAGGAGCCCGTGACACCCACAATACAGCTGACCCTGAACACTCTCATTCTGCCCCAAAATGCTGCTGAACCCAAACACCCCTTACTGCCCAAAAACGCAGCTGATTCGAAACATGCCTATGATGCCCAAAATGTGGCTGACCCTAAACGTCCCATTCTGCCCCAAAATGCTGCTTACACCAAACACCCCTATATAATCTAAAAATGCTCCTGAGCCCAAACACCTCTTTTGGCGCTTTTCCACTGCGTGGTACGACACGACTCGGCTCAATACGGCACGGCTCGGCTCGCGTTTCCACTGCAGTTTAGTACCGCTTTAGAGTGTGCGGGATTATTCACATGTCGTTATTAGGGATGCACCGAAATGAAAATTCTTGGTAGCCGAACAAAATTAAACACTGGGCCGAAGGCCGAACACGGAGTTTTTTGTATTTTGTATTTTGCCGATTTTTTTTTTCACCATTGCATAAATTAAAAAGCCAAAATGTGCTTTTTACTGTTTTGTCTTGCTTTTCAAAGAAAAAAAATCAATTACAAAACAACAATTAAAAAATATTTAACATTTTAACATTCTAGCAGACACTATACCAACAAAGCACAATTTAACTTAAAATGTATAAGTTAGTAAAATAATTTTTGTCCATCAGACCCCCTTTTTGAATCAGGCATGTATTTTTTACTGTACAATTAAAAGCAGCCTTGCTGAGAAGAGACTTCTTTTAAAACATTAGAAAATATTACAGATCCTAATTTGAACACGATGTGTGAATGTTATAATAAATGTATTAACAGAGCTGGTATAATGATTATCATTATTATTGTCTTACTTTATTTTATTTTACAGAACAACAGTAAAATTACAATACTAACATTTATGAATGTTGATAAGAGTTCTTGCTTTTTCTCAACTTTTATTTTGGCGGAAACGCGCAGGAAGACCTCAATGATTATTTAATCAATGCGTGTATTAGAAAACATAACGTTCTGCAGTTTATTTACTAATTGTTTAAGGCCATTTCGCGATTTCAATCATCATACAGTAACCAGCAACAATCACCCCTTCCTCTTCTCATTGAAGACATGTGATGCAGTCCTAAACAGTCTCTCGCTGTCGGTGCTTGTAATGATTTTTGCGAAATTTCGGTTGCCGAACATTCGGTGCATCCCTAGTCGTTATAGTTGCGCTGCTTCTACTGCCACGACTCCTAAAAAAACTTTTTCATTCCGCGTCGCCCCATCAAGCTCTCACTGGATCCGCTCCTCTGCTATCAACGAGAGGAACGTCTGTACTTCACAACAGACCACGAAACAGCCATCTTTTAGTTGTTAAAAAAAGGTGCGCTCGTTCAATACAGTTGCGTTCGATCCTTCCGGATGTGCTGATTTAAATCTAGCGGTTCTGTTGCGTTTGTGTCGCAAGTTCAGTGACGCAGGTAGTGACGATCCGAGCCGTACCGTGCAGTGGAAAAGTGCCATTTGATCACCCAAAAACACTGCTGGTTCGAAACATTCCTGACACCTTCGGAAAGAAAATGACGTGTACTACGGAATCCCTAAAGGGAATAAATACGAGATGGGAGGAAAGTACATATTTCAATACTTTCTTTCGCAGTTATATCATTGGGTAATTACTGTCTATAATTGCGGACATCAGGGAGCCACTATTATGCCTGGCATTGAAACTGCTTTTGAATGCACGATCGCATTTTAGTTTCACTTTCGAGATTCGCGATCGCACGTACTCTGTTTATACTACGGAGCGGCAGTACTTGCCACACATTTTACAAGATTAGATGTTTGTCAGTGGTGCTCAGGATCTGCAAACCATTCATCTCTCCTTACTCTGTTTATGTGGTAAGTAAAATTTTAAATTTTATGTACCGTAATGTAACAGGCAACCATTAGCAATCGTTATGTGTTTCCCGTGTCTTTCTGAATATGGATTCACGCTTTGGGCACACCCCCTAACCCCCCCCCCCCCCCCCCCC